CTTCTCAAAAAACCAGCTCTTTGTCTCATTGATCCTTTCTACTGCCTTTTTTGTTTCAATAGTATTTATTTCTGCTCTGATTTTTATTATTTCTCTCCTTCTGCTGACTTTGGGCTTCATTTGTTCTTTTTTCTCTAGTTCAGTTAGGTGTGCTTTAAGGTTGCTTATTTGGGATTTTTCTTGTTTGTTAAGATGTGCCTGTATTGCGATGAATTTTCCTCTTAATACAGCTTTTGCTGTATCCCATATGAGTTGGTATGGCATGCTATCATTTTCATTTGTTTCCAGGTATTTTTTAATTTCTTCTTTAATTTCTTCAGTGATCCATTGCTTGTTCAGTAGTGTGTTGTTTAGTCTCCACATCTTTGTGCCTTTCTCAGCTTTTTTCTTGTAATTAATTTCTAGCCTTATAGCACTATGATCGGAAAAGATGCTTGTTATTATTTAAATTTTTTTAAATTTGTAGAGGCTTGCCTTGTTTCCCAACATATGGTCTATCCTAGAGAATGTTCCATGTGCACTTGAGAAGAATGTGTATTCAGCTCCTTCAGGGTGGAGTGATCTATATATGTCTATTAAGTTCAATTGTTTTAGTTTTTCATTCAGCTCCACTATTTCCTTGTTGATTTTCTGTCTGGATGATCTGTCCATTGATGTGAGTGGGGTGTTGAGGTCCCCTACTATTATTGTGTTGTTTTTAACATCTTCCTTTAGGTCTGTTAATAGTTGCTTTATGAATCTTGGCGCTCCTGTGTTGGGTGCATAGATATTTATAAGCGTTATTTCTTCTTGATGAAGTGTCCCTTTGATCATTATATATTGTCTCTCTGTGTCTCTCTTTACCTGTCTTATTTTGAAATCCACTTGGTCTGATATAAGAATTGCAACACCTGCCTTTTTTTCCTTGCTATTTGCTTGAAGTATTGTCCTCCACCCCTTCACCCTGAGTCTGTGTTTGTCCTTGGGGCTGAGGTGTGTTTCTTGGAGGCAACAAATTGTTGGATCTTGTTCTTTAATCCATTTTCCCACTCTGTGTCTTTTTATTGGAGAGTTCAATCCGTTTACATTGAGAGTGATTATTGATGCATGTGGACATAATGCTGTCAATCTGTGGCTCGTTATCTTGTTTTCCTGTGTTTCTTTTCCTGTGTGCTTTAGACTACCCATTTAATACTGCAATTTCTTATGCTGGGTTTCTTAGATTTTTCCTTATTTATGATTTGTGACGCTGTTCTGTATTTATTTTACTGTGTACCTTGAAGTTTGTATTTAGAATCTCGTGTATAATATAGTCTATTCTCTGGTGGTCTCTTACCTACTTGACCAATACTGATTTAGACCCTTTGCTCTTCCCCTCCTAAATAATTATTTTCATTTCTTATTCCAACTCGTGTTATGAATTTGTAGTTAGAGTGATAATATCATCCTTGCTTTGGTAGTTTCCTTACCTTTACCTTAATGCTATAGTTGAATATTTGCCATCCTGTTCTGGTTCTATCCATCGGTCTCCCTAGTCTGTGGATTGTGACCCCTTTCTCCCTTTTTTCTTTTTTCAGGTATGAGAGCCTTCTTGAGGATTTCTTGTAGTGGAGGGCTTTTAGTTACAAATTCCCTTAACTTTTGTTTGTCTGGAAAAGGTTTAATTTCTCCCTCATAGCTGAAGGAAATTCTTGCTGGATAGACTATTCTTGGCTGAAGATTTTTATCTTTTAAAGCTTTGAATATGTCACTTCATTCTCTCTTACCTTGTAAGGTTTCTGTAGAGAAATCCACTGACAGTCTGATAGGGGTTCCTTTATAGGTTATTCTCTTCTTTTTTCTTACTTCCCTGAGTATTCTTTCCTTATCTTTCCTTCTTGCCAATTTTACTACTATGTGCCTTGCAGTAGGTCTTTTTACACTGACAAATCTAGGAGATCTGAAAGCTTCCTCTACACACATTTCTCTGTCAATCCCTAGATTTGGCAAGTTCTCGTCAATAATTTCGTTAAGCACACTTTCTGCTCCATTTTTCTTTTCCACGTTCTCGGAAATTCCTATGATCCTTATGTTCTTACTCCTCATTGAATCCACTATCTCTCGGAGATTTTCCTCGTTTTTTTTAATTCTTAGTTCTCTTTCTTCCTCTGTCTGGCACCATTCAGCCTGTCTATCTTCAATTATGCTAATTTTCTCTTCTATGGTGTCTACACGGGCATTCAGAGAATTAGTATTCTATTTTATCTGGTCCATTGTGTTTTTCATCTCAAGTAATTCTGTTTGATTCTTCTTTATGATTTCAATCTCTTTTGTGAAGTAACTCCAGAACTCGGCTTATTTCTCTATCTTTCTCTCTACCTCATTGAGTTTTTTGATTATAGCTGCTCTGAACTCATTATCACTTAGTTTACCTAATTCCAAGTCCTCAGGACTTAATTCTATGTTTTTATTGTTTTCCTTCTGTTCTGGGGCTTTTATAAACTGCTGGATGGTAGAGGAGCGGTTTATTCGCATGATGGTAGAATTCGGTTGCAGTTACAGCCTGTCGCCACTAGATGGGGGTCGAGAGCCGCGTGTTATGAGCTCTCCGCCTTCGGGCAAGATGGCTGCACCCAGTGGCTTTGCCAGGAGGGAAAGGCTGCTATTCTCACGTGCCGATGTGGATTCAGATCAGTTCTGTTCTCTGGTCTCCCAAGGCCCTTGATTTATAGGGTCCCCACGGACGGAAGCTTTCCCCCCGTCAGCGGGTCTCCACTGAACCAGCGGCAGGAGTCCTGGATGATCCCCCGGTCGCGCGGCCCCTCCCCCGCTCCTTCCCGACCCACGCAGCAGCGATGGCAGACTCTAGGGGAGGGAGCGAGGTTCTCTCCTACCGTTCCAGCGCCTCCGAGGGTGTCTGCAAGGTTTATGATCTCCGCCTTCTTGGTATTGTAGGTCTCTAACGTGTTGGCATTAGATTTATTCTCTGAAATTCAGTTTGTCCAATCCTTTGTTGTATTTTGGAGGGGAGAGAATCCCGGGTCAGCTCACCCCGCCATTTTGCCTGAGGTACCGCCTATGAACTTCCCTCTTAGAACTCATTTTGCTGCACTGGATTAGGAATAATTTTTATCTTCTTTTTACTTTTCTATATATACCAAGCTTTCTAACACAATATATCTCTCTTAACATCAGAAAAAATGCTTGCAATTTATTAAAAGTATAAAAATAGTAAATAAAATGGCAATGGGTAACAGAAGTGACAAGTTTGGAAAAGAATCTGGGTTATCCTAAGCTGATAATACAGGACTTAACAAGTTAAAAGTGTTTTAAACCAAGAATAATTTGAAGGCATCAGTATACACATACAATTTACACAGATAGAACGAATGAGAATAAAAAAATATACAACTTACTATAAAGGGCTGATTCTATCAAAGATTTGACCCCATTACAAATTTGGAGAACTGATCATTTGTACCTGTGTTCTTACTATACAAAAATGAAATAAGTGTTCTATTGTTTCCCAGCAATTACCCAGTTTTTTCACCAGGTCATTTGATAGCTTGTAGTGAATGGTGAGAGAGCACAGAGAAGACAGGAGAAAAGGCAGCTTGACTGAGACAGAAAATAAATCGCCTGACTGCATTTACTTTCCCAATAAGTCAGTCATGAACAAACATCTCAGTAATCTAAAGTATGGTTTTTGCAACTGAAAAGATGATCCATTATTGGATAGGGAAATACATTTAGTTATGGGCAGCAGCATCTAGTAAACGAAATATACAAAAAATAGAAAAAGGCACAACCTCCAGGTAGCTTGGGTAAGAAATGTTTCAATTTTTGTTTCAGTTTCATGTATACATTTATCTCTGTGGAAAATAGCTCATAAATGTAAAATTTATTTCTTACTATTGATTGTGGTAAAAAAAAAAAATTGTGAATGCTACCTATCTGAGAAACCTTCAACTCTAAGTTCAATCACTCTAATTCTGCTACTCCTCTAACAAATTTAATGCATGTCTGGAGGTAGGGAAATAGGTGAGAAGGCAAGGGGAAGAGAAAAGGAAAGAGATATGGACACCAAAAGTGTTCCCTAAGGAATGTGCTAGAAGTCTGCTGCTGGGAAAACATTTTCAAAGCCCCCCAAAGGCTCACTTAAAAAAGAATGAAAAAACAAGGAAAACGAAAAGACTGGAAGCTAGTGAATAGATACAGGAGGTAGAATGAAACCGATCAGGGAACCCCGTTAACTATGTTAACAGAGACAACATAGAGTAACTGTGTTAGAGGGCAGCATTATTCCCTGAGGAAGCCTACAACATAAATCTGGCAGAAGTGTATAAATACACAAATATATACATACACACACACTTTTTGTACACAAATCTATAGCAGACATTACTAGAGTAAGGTGTTGTCACAGAATGAATGTTTATGTCCCCCCAAAACTTATATGTTGAAATCTTATTTTCCAATGTAATGGTATTAGTAGTGAGGGCTTTGCTAGTGATTAGGTAATGAGGGTGGAGCTCTCATGAATGAGATTAGTGCCTTATAAAAGATTCCAGAGAGCTCTCTCATTCTATCCACCAGGTGAGAACACAGCAAGATGGCTGTCTATGAACCAGGAAGCAGGCCCTTCCCAGACACCAATCTGCTGGTACCTTATCTTGGACTCCCCAGCCTCCAGAACTGTGAAAAATAAATTTCTATTTTTTTTTTAATTTTTTTTTAAAGATTTTTATTTTTTTTCCTTTTTCTCCCCAAAGCACCGTGGTACATAGTTGTATATTCTTCGTTGTGGGTCCTTCTAGTTGTGGCATGTGGGACGCTGCATCAGCGTGGTTTGATGAGCAGTGCCATGTCCGCGCCCAGGATTCAAACCAACGAAACACTGGGCCGCCTGCAGTGGAGCGCACGAACTTAACCACTCGGCCAGGGGGCCAGCCCCTCTATTGTTTATAAATCAGCCAGTCTATGGTATTTTTGTTATGGCAGCCAGAAAAGACTATGTACATTTTGCATAAATATATGCTTACCTTTCAGGAGAAGTTTACTGATCCACTAATCTATTTGACCATTGAAAATGCATGCTGCTCTTGTTATGGGTCAAAGATGACTTCAGGCTTGGTACAACAGAGTTCTCTAAATACAAGTCTCGGTTGGCAAATAGGAAATAAATCAAGAAATAGAGATCGGCTGAGTTCTCCCTCAACTGAGCTTCTGGAAAAACAGCAAATACCTAGAAAAGTAAGTAAGTAAAATAGTTTCAAATATTCTTATTCCAGAAGGAAAGGTAAAGCAAAGCAAACAATGCAAAAGCAGGCTGAAAATATTTGTCATAATATTTTATGCTCTTAGGGGACAAATGTTAGCCTACTCATTAATCACTCTTTTCATCACCTATTTTAACTCCTGGAAGAAAGGGAGTCATTTTATAATACCTATGATAAAAGGCATTATAATACCAAAAAAATCCAAAACATTGCAATATAAAACAAATTACCTCTTATTTCATTTCATTGAAATGATAAAAAAGTGTTCAAATAATGAACATGCTATTCTAATATATAGTAAAATAATATCAAGTATTAAAATCACATAAAATAAAAAGTGGAAATTAGATATTTGAAAATAAATGTGAAAAAAAAATTCCAGGGAAAATAGATTCCAGAACACTAATAAAATGTAAAATTAGAATACAGATGTTTCAGTGTGGCAAGTAAATATTATATGTAAATTAAAAATTAATTTCCATAGTCTTTTTGCCCAGAGAAAAAAAATCTTATCATCTTTAGTAACATACTTCTACAAATTATATGACATAAATATATCTACATAAAATCTGCAAGAATGACAACTGAATTTCCTAAATAACTACCCAATTTAAGTAAAGGATTTCTTAATAATAAATTACTAAACATATTATTATCACTCTCCTCTACATTTCTTTCTATATTAGCTTTCTTTCTTAGAGCTTATTGGCGGCTCAGCATATGTACAAAAGGTCAACAGCAGTTAGGTAATATAATGCAAAACATAAATCAATAACATAGAACTGAAAAATATTATGATAAGAGTTGTAACTGAAACCTACTGACATTCAAAAGACAGTAATTTCTTAAAACATACTTTAGCATCATATGCTACTAAAACCAAATAACAAACTATGATTTCTAAAGAATACAAATGCATGTGGCATTGATCTCTAGACAGATTTCCAGAAACTGTTTTATGCTCCTGTAATAAATACAATTCATGTTTTGTTTGTTTGATAAAGAGAATGATTTATCACATTGTGATGTAGTATTTCCTTATTTTAACTTTCAAGCTTATCCAGAAAGTTACAAACAACACGTTTCTAAATTATGTAACATGCTTATGGAAAACATCTAAATATTGTCAGTGGTTCCTTGGACAACAAAATAGTTACATGGCTTCTCTGTACGGTTGAACTAAAAACTGCTACATCACGAAAATAAAGCATGTCTCTATTTTTCATCTTTCCCTTGTAAAAATACAGACCATTTTTATTCTATGGATGACTCTTTAGAGTGAAAGACATTCAAATCTCTTTCAATTATCCCAACATATGTGTATCTGATGAATGTTTATGCAACACTTAATATATATTGCCAGACTACTGTGTCAATACTGTTCAGAGAACGATGGCTATTTCTTCAGAAAGTGTGACAGTAACCAAAAGAAAAAGTGACACTACAATCAGTGTCCTGAGTAGTTGTAATTTGTTTTGTTTCTAAAGACACACTTTACACCCAGGTCAATTTTACATTTCTTACACTGCTGGGATTGTAATTTACTTTCTTGTTCTGACAGGATATATCCAATAAAAGATCTCATTGACATCCACCAGAGAAACCAAGGGAAGAAAAAGACTAAAGGCAGAATTAGGAAACATGGAAGGCTCTCTGTACAGTAATGCTGTATGAAACAACCAAACACCCCCAGCAATCCATATGCAGAAGGAATGTTTACCATAGTTGCACTGAAAGGATCTATCAGTTCTTTTTCTAGTTATTCTCTATGGAATTGCATAAATATTGAGAAATCTAGAAATAGATATACACATGCACATATAAAAATTATTGTCAGTGTATAAGTTACTGCTGCCCTGGGACTGCAATAATTTATGTAACATCTGTTTTCATATTTTTCTAATTTTTTTCCTAATTAACATGCATATTTAACGCATAAATGCCCAGACCACCTCTTTTTTCTGCTGACTATGCCTCTTTATTTTTGAAGTTGTGCACTCCTAGGGAGAATTCAGGATAGATGGAAATCAAAATCTTACTGAAAGCACTAATTTTAAAATGTAAACAACAGTACTAAACGAATTTTCAAGAAAATACTAAAGTCTTTAAGAGTTTTCACAGAACATTTCAATGTGCCAATAATAGTCATGCAGTAAATTAAGGTCCAAATACCAAAAAGCAACATAAAAGCATAATTCCAATATTGTATTAATCTTCCTGATTTCTTTTTCACTTTTATAAGAGCTGAGAAACCTATTATAATATCTATGATTTCTTGTCTTTGTGAGTTTTGGTAGTACTTCAAAAATGTTATGCCTTAGGCAACTAACATAAATGAACACATTCCATACAGTAAACATCAAGAAGTGTGTAACTGATTATATCTTTTTTGAGTTGTAAACTTTAAATACTGTGCAGATGTGAAGAAAGGGGAAAGGTTTTTACTCTAAAGCTCACTCAAGTACAATCAACTTCTGGAAGTTCTCAATCTGTACTGGGAAATTCAAAGTTGAAATATTACTAATCTTTATTTTTAATAGACAAAGTAAAATTAGAGGCTGATCAAACTAATGCTACAATAACTAAAATATTCCCAAATAACAATGCTTAACATGCCAACACTGTGACTCCATCTGTACTTACCTAACTTTAGAATTAATCACTTTGTATTTTAATTACCTAGTTATGCATTTCAATCAGCCATTTAATATTTCTTATCAGTTTATAGGGCTGTTCTAGGCCTTTTAGACACTGAAACTGTCTTAGCTCTTCTACAACTAACATTTTACTTGGGGAAACAGACAGTATCCAATAATCATGCAAATACATAATTGCAAACAGAGATCAATGCTATTAAAAATATGGGGGCTGGGGGAAAGCCATGAGATTTTATAACAGGAGACTTGATTTAGCCCAGAGTTCAGCAAAGACCTAAAGAGGAGATCTGAAAGCTATGGAAAGTGCTCCTGGGCACAGCAAGTGCAAAGGTCTAAAGCAGTAATGAGATGAGCACATTCAAAGTCAAGAAAGAGAGGCAGAGAGGCTAGTCACAGCTAGACAGGGAAAGTATGTGAAACAAAATGGGGCAGAAAAAGTAAGTAAGGCAAAATCATGGAATGGTTTTAAACAAGGTATGACAATCAACTGTACACTGAAAAAAATATCAAATTTGGCTGAATTACAGAGAGGGGCAAGAGGAGGCAGAGGAGGAGTTAGGTCAGAGATGACAGTAACTTAGACTAAGGTGATGGTGATGAAGACGGAGAACAACAAGTAGAAAGAGATTTATAGAAGAACAAACAGCAGAATTTAGCGAAAGACCAAATTTTGTGGAGGATGCAAATGGATAGCAATTCTGTTCACTGATGAAAGGAACCCTGGAAGAAGATCAGTTTGTTGGAAGAAAGAGCCTAAGTTTAGACTTGGACATGTTAAGGAGTTATCTGTTGGAGATGTCCTGTAGGTATTTCAATGTAAACATCTGGAGCTATAAGAAGAGTGTGGAGCTTTAAGAAACGTCTGGGCTAGAATCAAGTGTAGATTTTACCAGAATATGGATAGTAAAAAAAGAGGCCTACATTCTGTGTCCAAAGGAAAATTCCTTCACACATCCAGTATCTTCCTCGTTTCTAGCTATCATACCACATCAGAACAGGAAAATACATATTTCATAATTTGACAAACTCACTTAGCCTATAATTGGTTAACTCCAATAAGTTGCTAAATAATAGTCATCATTTTACTGAAAAGCCTACTCTGGGACCGAAGTATAAAAACAGACTGAAGCACTCCAAAAATGTGCTTCCAGTCACTAATCCTCACAATAACCTCAGAGTTTAATAATTATTGTGCCTACTTTTCAGATGAGGTAGCTGAAGTTTAGGGAAGTATATAGTCGCTGGCAAAACCAGTAAGTGATAGAGGCATACTTCCAGGCCAGAGCCACCACAGCCCATGTTCTTTCCACTCAAAAGGAGGGTAGCATGTATAGTGTCAAGAGTCTGGGCTTTAAAATAAATCACCCTCAGTTTAAACTCTGGACCCAGAAGACTACTTAAGCTTTCTTACACGTCCTCACCTGCAATTCCTCTCTTGCTAGGAAATATTGACATTTTAGGAAACATGTGAAGCCTCTATCACAGTCCACTGAGTTGTAAATCGCTAGTAACATGACATGTTCCTTCACCACAGGAGTGCCAACTGACAGAGGACTTTGAGCAGAAACTAAGGATGATACTGAAAACTTTGGAAATTTCACAGTATAGGGCATGGAACAGCTACCTCAGCTCAACTCTGTTTTCCCCCAACTGGGGAAGAGTAGCTTCCATGAAAAGGAGCCAGAAGCTAATATCATAAGAGCTGTCAATAGAGAATTCAGCAGTGGTTCTAAAATTTTATTGTGCATAAAAATCAGCTAAGAAGCTTCTTAAAATGGAGATTTCCAAGCAGACCCTCCCAAAGAGTCTGATACCACAGTGAAATAGATGACTCTTCAAGTTTTCTAAAAGAGAACTACCAACAACCACCATTTTCCATTCTTCAGGCACATAATTTTTAAATTATTCATTGAACGTATATATTACTTCATTTAGTCCAATTAAATTGTACCCAACTTAATATTAAGATTTCAGATATTTTTCTGAACAACTACTATCAAGGTTCCCTTTCAGCAGAAAGAGGGATGATTAAACAAAAGCAGTTTTAGCTATACATAAAATACCTCCATCAGATTTGATTTTCCTTAACACAGATTTTAATCTTATGATTAAAACTAAGTCATTTAGGGATATATATGTCAAAAGATACAGAAATGTTTAAGAGAGATGAATGGTTCATAAAGAAAATTTTGTTGCAGAAGTTAACCTTTGGTTAATAAAACATATTATTGATTAGTAAAGAATCTTAGAAATATTTAAGAGGATCCAATATAGTAACAGTTCTCCAAAAAAATGGAATGAAAGCTTAC